CATTGTTTAAAAAAAAATTCTTATTGTCCACATTAAAAGTATTACAGAAAGTGGGCCCTAGGGATGTAGATCAGTAGTGAAGTGCTTGCCTAGCATGTGCAAGGCCCTGGGTTAGATCCCCAGCACTAAAAGAAAAAAATTACAAAACATTCAAAGAAATTATTAGAAAAGCAAACAAAACAACATATAAAGTCTACAGAAGAATTCCTCCTATCCACTAGAACCAATAGAGGAATTGAAATTTTGGGTGATTTCTATTCATTCAGATTAAAAGCACCTCATTTGAAAAGGACAAGTATCTATCATGCATGAGGAACTTTCATTATTGGACTTAATTTTATTCAGAAACAATAGGTTTGATCAAGGGAAATAATATTATCAAACATGTGTATCTAGATGCTTGTAGTCTCAGCTACTCTAAAGGCTAAAGCAAGATCATTTGAAATTCAAGCCTACGCAACAAGTAAGATCTTGTCTCAAAAAGTTTAGAAGCTGGGTGCCAGTGGCCTGTAATCCTATCTACTCAGGAGGCTGAGATCTGAGGATTATTATTCAAAGCCGGCCCACGCAGGAAATCTGGGAGACTCTTGTCTCTACACTGTGTTTCCAAGTAGTAGAGCACTAGCCTTGAACAAAAAGAGCTCAGGGACAGCACCCAGACCCAGATTTCAAGCCCCATGACCAACAAAAAAATAAAAGTTTAGGATGTCCTACATGCCATTTCTGCTGCTTCATTTCATGAACATTGGTATCATATATTTGAAGTAAAAATACATTTAAATACCTTTAAATAAGGGATGTGGCAAAATGAGAATATAAATTAAACAATGAAGACTTTATGAACAAGACATTAATCAGTCTGTCTATATTTTCCCTTCTTACTGTCCTACTTCTCCAAGTTTTATGTTTTATACAATTAATTGAAGACTGCCTGAAAAATACCATGGGGGGGGCAGGGAGAGGGAGGACGGGGAAAGATAGGAAGGGAAGGGAAGGGAAATGGAAACAAAGGAGGAGGCAACAATGCTTGATACGAAATGTACTCATTACCTTGCTCATGAAATTGTAACCCCTCTGTATGATAATTTCACAATTAAAAAAAAATACCACTGCAGATTATGCTTATATCTCCTGAAAGCAGTTATGAGTAGTAGAACTATATTTGTCTGAAGTAGATAACAGGAAAATATACTATTATGGCATTTGTATTTAAAATAATTCAAAAGAAATAAAATCATACATTGAAGAATGGCACCCACATTATTTAAAAAATTATTTATGGATGCAAATTATGTGGTTAATAATCATTTTTCTAAGACATGCATATTTTGATACCTTTTGTAACTAAACTTATAAAACCAAACTATCTGAATATTTATCAACTGATTAGTTTTCTGCTCACCAGCAAAGTTAAAACTGCAATATCTATTGTTCTATAAAATATAATCAAATTCTGCATTTCAATATAAAATTTATATTGTCTGTCATCAAATAAATTATTTAGATGCAATTGTTCTTTTCTAGAAATTTAATTCTACTAATCCTTTTTTTTTTTACTTTTTGTCAGTCATGGGGCTTGAACTCTGGGCCTGAGCACTGTCCCTCAGCTCTTCACTTCAGCTCAAGGCTAGCACTCTCCCATTTGAGCCACAGCACCACTTCTGGCTTTTTCTTTTTATGTGGTGCTGTTGAACCCAGAGCCTCATGCATGAGAGGCAAGCACTCTACCACTGATCCACCTTCCCAGCCATAGATATTTACTTATCTATTTACTTAGTGGTAGTGGAGTTTCAATTCAGGGCCTCTTTTGCTTTTTCAGATAGGGTCTCATGTTTTGTCTGCATGCAGTCACAGTCTGCTATCCACCTACTAATCACTCACAAGCATGTTTCACATGCCCAACTTATTTGTTGAAATGGAGGTTTCACTCATTTTTTGCCCATGCAGGCCTTAAACCACTATCCTCATATCTATTTCCTAAGAGGTGGGATGACAAGCATGAGCTACTGTGTCCTGGTCCTACTATTGCTTTTTAAAATCATTTAAAAGAAGTCCAATTTCTTGGAGATCCTTCTTAGTTATTTTCTACAAGCTATTCTACCATTAGTAGTAGTGTTATAGCTCTCTTAGAGCTTTGCTTTTTTTTTTTTTTTTTTGTCGGTCATAGAGCTTGAACTCTGGGCCCGGGCAGGTGCTATCCTTGAGCTCTTCAGCTCAAGGTTATCGCTCTACCACTTGAGCCACAGTGCCACTTCTGGTTTTCTATGGACTGGCTTTGAACCGATTCTCAGATCTCAGCCTCCTAAGTAGCTAGGATTACAGGTATGAGCCACCAGCACCCAGCTAGCTTTTGCTCCTCTTTCCAAGAGAATGGCTACTATTCAAAGACTTTCTTACTCATTAAATGAAAAAAAAAAAAAAAGACTAATAGTACAAAGATGTAGAGGATATAACAAACTTTTGGAACACAACATCATGTTTCACAGTTTATTTATTATTATCTAGCCTAAGACAGGTCATCTAATTTCTCTGTGCTTCTGTTTTAACTTAAAATCAATGGAGGGAACAGTCTATGCACTACCCCCTTATGCTATCGCATTAGTTCTCATTAAGCCTCTTTTGGAAGGTTTAAGACAAATTAGAACACATAATCTCTAAGGTTTCTTCTGATTATCACATAGTATAGTTTGTTTCTACAACAATTTTTCTTCTACAACAATTTCTTTTTCTTTCTTTCTTTTTTGTTGGTTATGGGGCTGAGTTGGGAACTCAGCACCAGGCACTGTCCCTGAGCTCTTTTGTCAAAGATATTTCTCTACGACTTTGAGCCACAGCTCCACTTATGGTTTCTCTAGTGTTTAATTGGAGGTAAGAGTGTCATGGACTTTCCTGCCTGGGCTAACAATCCTCAGATCTCAGCCGCCTGAGTTGCTAGGATTACAGGCCAGAGCCACCAGTGCCCAGCTTACAGTAATTTTTAATAAATAGTTGGTGTCTTCCTCAAATCAACAAAACCCATTAGAAAAAGTCCCAAAGGCCTGCAAAAGTCCCAAAAGTTTCCATTTCAAGACCCAATTCCTCTTCAGCCAAACTAATAAATAACCTAAAAGTTAACCCAAATACAACTTTTGTATTACACTATAAACCTATCAAAATATATTGCCTACTAGTTTACTTACATTCTAATTTATATAATTTTCATTCTACCTACATTCAAGATACTCTAGAGAGGGGGCTAGTTAACATAGTCCTATACTTCTAAACACTAATGAAATAAAATACAAAGAAAAGAATATTAATAATCATGTCCTACCAAATTTCTTACAAACGTATATTGCATACTATTTAGAGGCTGGAAAGACAAAACTAAGTGTGGAAAAAAAAAAAAGATTCTGCAGTGCTTATGGCTCACACCTGTAATCCTAGCTACTCAGGAGGCTGAGATCTGAGACTGTGACTTGAAGCTAGCTCAGGCAGGAAAGTCTGTGAGACTCTTACCTCCAATTAACCACCAAAAAGCCAGAAACGGAGCTGTGGCTTAAGTGGTAGAGGTCCAGCCTTCAGCAAAAAAAGCTAAGAGACAGCTCCCAGGCCCTGAGTTCAATCCCAGTAGCAAAACAAAACAACAACAACAATTGACATGCTGCTGCTGAAATGAATTTGGTGTTTCTTATTACTTAAAAAAAAGAGAAGAGAAAAATGTCAGAAGCACTCTGCTTAGGTAATACTGAACCATGACAAGTCACTGGCTTCACTGAGAAGTTAATGCACCATGAAGCAGTATTTTGGTACTAGTACAGTGCAAATTGGTTTTTCTTTGTCTAACAGTGGACAGCAAATGAGGCACTTACCTATAAGTAGAAAAATAGGGTTTATTTAGGAAGAAATTAAAAATCATTCATAAAAGATAATTAGCATCATTCAAAAAGTAAAAATTCCTATTTTTATTTAACATGATTCAATGTTGTACATGCCTCACTAAGGAAAAAAAATCTCTTTTTTTTTTTTTTAGGGTAAGACTTGTTTTATTTATACAAAACAGAAAACATCTAGTTCAAGGGACTCTAGATTTCTGAGAATGAAATCCAAGCCTTCTCAACCTGAGAGCTGCTTCTTTGTAAAGTCAGAAAGGTACAGCTGAGCACAGTGGAGAAATATCAACAAAGGACACCAGGTGAACCTCAACTTAGTTCTTCAAGAACTTCTATATAGGGCTGGAAGGTGGCTCAGTGGTCAAGCGCTTGCCTTGCATGCCTCAGGTCCTGGGCTCGATTCCTCAGCACCACATAAGCAAAAAGAAAAAAGCTGGAAGTGGCGCTGTGGCTCAAGTGGTAGAGCACTAGCCCTGAGCTGAAGAGCAGAGGGACAGCGCCCAGGCCCAGAGTTCAGGCCCCACGACTGGACCAAAAAACAAAAACAAAAAAACAAGAACTTCTGTATAATTTTAAAGAAGGGGATCTAGCCTGGCACCAGTGGCTCACGCCTGTAATCCTAGCTACTCAGGAGGTTGAGAACTGAGGATTGCAGTTTGAAGCCAGCCTGGGAAACTCTGAGACTCTTATCTCCAATTAACCACCAAAAAGCTAGATGTGGAGCTGTGGCTCAAGTGGTAGAATGCCAACTTTAGAGAAAAACCTCAGGGATAGCATCCAGGACCTGAATTTAATTAAGTCCCAGGGCTTGCTCAAAAATAAAAGTAAAAAGAAAAAAGAAAAGAAGAGAATCTACAGACTGCAACAGAACAATGATTAGGCATTTAGCACCCAAATTTAAAGAACACTTATATATTGGATATTTAACTTCCATAAGTTTGAAAGAATCAGATATGTGCTATTTAAGGATTTTAGCACATCCTAAAAGATGAAAATACCAAGCTTCAAAATATTATCCTTATTTACAAATGTATCATCTACCTTAACATTCAAACACAATTTTATTTATTCCTGAAATTACAGATATGTAGCTATTTCAACAGGTAAAGGGAAATGTATTTTTTTCAGAACCACCATTCAATTATCTTTCAAATGTGGCACTTGTCAGAGATAAGGTAGTAAAAATTAAAAAAAAAATAATTACTCCTACTTTACCACTAGTATTTATTTTAAATGTTCTTCACTATGAGTCAGAGGTTAGAAGTGAGGGCTGGCAATGTAGCTTTGTGTTAGAATACTTGCCTGGCATGCACAAGGCCCTGAGTTGAATTCCCAAGGCTAGAAAGAAAATTAAAACAAAACCAAAAAACAGGGTATGGCCTTGAACCTTCTACAAACATAAGTGTGGAAATACAACCAAGAAGAGAGGAGACAAACATACGTTAATATCTGGCCACACATTGGCATATAAATGCTTGCCTATAGGATAAAAAAAGCACTCACTGAAAAGATAAAATGGCATAAAATTTGGCCTTGGCATTATTTCAAGTGAATGGAGCCTAGCATAGCCTCTCTTCATATCAAAGAGAAAGATTCTTATGTTGCTTAAGTAAGCTTAATTTTAATTCTGGATGAAATACTTTACTTCATGCATTTAAACTTATCTACAACATTTACTAAGTTTTCTATAAAACAATTTAATTATCCTAAGAATAATTAATAACTAAGAATCAGATAATATATGGGCTGAGGGGCTAGCTCAATAGGAGAGCACATGCTTAGCATGCTCAAAGCCCTGGATTCAACTGCCAGCACAAATACACTAAAAAAAAAAAAAAAAAAGAAAGAAAAAAGATTCTATAATCTCCATTTTTCTTCCTCAACTTAGTTATATGAAAGTTTCCCTTGACTCAGAGAGAAGGGAAAAAAAAGTTTTAAACAATACATTTTCACTTCAAGGAACTCTGGCAAATTTCAATAGTTCACAATTGTCATTTATATTCATTTTAATAAACTGTATTTCTTACTATATAACTTTCTCAGAAGAACCAAAATTCTTCTAGTCTGTTATTAATGTAATTTTTTCTACTTTTTTAAGAAGCTGTTTTTGAAAGGAAAGAAATACATAAAAGGACATTGTTCATGCAAATATTAAGAAATAAAGTGCCTATAGCTTTCAATATAAATATTTAATACATTAGAGCCAAAAAGCTAGCAAAATCAAAATGAAAACAACTCAATATCTAGAATCTGAAAAATATGATACAAGAATATCAATTTTATATAAATAGTAACAAAATAGGGACGTAGTATTCCCCTTTCAAAAGCAGAAAGGCAAATGAAAATATTCTTTAAAAAAATTTACGTCCATTTCTGTTTCCCAAAAGCCTGATATATTATACAGTAATACCAACATGCAATATCTGAAATGTGGAATCACATTCTGACTGCTGCCCCTGAACTTCTGCATTTAATTTACAATTCTCTGGTGCCTGGCTGATTTCATCTTGTGAAGTGGGAAATACATTTTGGGTCTCCTCTACAGAAGCACTGTCAGACAAGGCATCTAACTTGTCTGGGGAACCAGATATATGAAGCTGACTATCTCCTGATCCTTCATCAAAATTTGTCCTCTCCTCGGCATCTTCAAGCTGTTGAACTGAAGTTAAATATTGTTCAAGCAGATTATTATCTTGCTCAGTGTGGGAGCTTTCCCCACTCCGATCACCATGTTCTTCACTAACATCCTCTAAATCTGGCTCTTTGCCATATTTCACTGTGTCAATGGAATTCCCCATTATGGAACTTTCACTATCTTCTGTAGAATTTTTTTCAAAATCCAAAGAATCTTGCAAACACTGAACTTGTTCTGTTAGGGAAGAATGAAAACCCGAATCTGGAAATTCAGGTAAGGATTTTTCTTGAGGAACTTGGTCCTGAGCAATGAACCAATCAGACTTTTGTTCAAAAGAGAGGTCCTGACTTTGTGTGAATAGTGGAGGTCCAGATGGCAGCAGAGTACTTGATATAGGAGGAACATCCTTATTCCAGGAAATTAGGCGCTGATTTACTGTCTCCTGCCAAGCTTGTAAAGATCTTACCTATAAACCAAAATACACAGTTTTATTATAAAAATCACACCTTTGAGATTTTTTTTTGTTTTCCAGCAGTCATAAAATTGGACTTAAAAACTGTCTTCATTCATTATGCTCCATTATTCTTTTCATAGCATGCCTAGCCTAAACCAGGCAGGCAAAGTCACATAGGTCCTTAGCAACCACAGACTCATTGTGACAATGATAATAGGCCAAAGTAATTCTTTTGCTTCTACTGGAAAAACACTGAGAAGTACAACAGTACATGTGCCAAGGGGTCAATAATGTCCAAAATGTACATCAATCTCTATTCAATCAAACTGGTAAGACTGATTACAGCCTATGCTAGTATAAGTAGAGAGCAAAAGAAAGCCTCTTTTTAGATATCCATGTAAGAGTTTGAAATTTTTATGTAAAAATAAATATACACAACTTTCTAAAAAGTCTAAAAACATACTGAATTGTTGAAATATGACTTTGTGTATATGTGTGTGTGTATGTGAGTGTATGCCTCTACTGTGGTTTGAATTCAGGGCCTGAATGCTACCCTAAGCATTTTTTTTTTCCCTCTCTCAAGACTAGTGCTCTACCACTTGAGCCACAGCTCTACTTCCAGCTTTTTGGTGGTTACATGGAGATGAAAGTCTCACAGGCTTTCTTGGCTAGCTAGCTTTGAACCACAATCCTCAGTTTTCAGTTTCCTGAGAAGCTATTATAGGTATGAGCCACCAGTGCCTTGCTGATTATCTTTAATTTTATAGGTCCAATTTTATTGTAATAAATTGTTTCATAAAAATATTTACAAGAGGGCTGGGAAGGTGGCTCAGTGGTAGAGTGCTTGCCTTGCATGCATGAGGCCCTGGGTTCGATTCCTCAGCACCACATAAGCAAAAAGAAAAAAAGCCGGAAGTGGCGCTGTGGCTCAAGTGGTAGAGTGCTAGCCTTGAGCTGAAGAGCTGAGGGACAGCACCCAGGCCCAGAGTTCAGGCCTCACGACCAGACCCCCCCCCCAAAAAAAAATATTCCCAAGAGCCGGGCGCTGGTGGGTTCACACCTGTAATTCTAGCTACTCAGGAGGCTGAGACCTGAGGAACATGGTTCAGAGCCAACCTGGGCAGGAAAGTCCATGAGACTCTTATCTCCAATTAATCACCAGAAAACCGGAAGTGGTGCCGTAGCTCAAATGGCAGACCACTTGCCTTGAGCTGAAGACCTCAGAGACAGTGCCCAGGTCAGAGTTCAAGCCCCCAACCAACAAAAAATATATATATTTAGATTTTATATATATACATATATATTTCCAAGAAATTATTATTGAGAAATATTTGAGCCAGGCACTCAAAATAGTAGAGCACTAGCCTTAAGCAAAAAAGCTCAGGGACAGTCCCCAGACCCGGAGTTCAAGCCTCAAGACTGGCACAAAAGAAAGAAGTACTAATAAAACCAACTGCCTAACCTACCTCTAAAGTATGCTATCGCATGGTTTAAACCTGATTTCTCAAGTGTGCACATGCATTCGTGTGCATTTTTTAGGATATGCACATAAATACTACCTTAGTTTTCATTCAAATATTTCAGATAAATAGCTATGCAAAACTTTAAACTGGATAAAAAGTTTAGCTTTGTGAAACTTTTTTTATCTACTGGAAAGTTATCATGACACTCTCTTTTGAGGAAAGTAACTTTTCTTTGTTCACATATACTAGGGAAATAATGAGTGATTTACCTGGTTCCAAAGGAATCTCACAGCCTCTTCTTGTACAAACTTTTTAACACGTTCTTCATCTCTTTCCTTTCTTAGTCTGCAATGATGCAAAATAATTCATTTATATAAGGAAGGTTGCTTTGATTTGAATTTCCTGTTACAACTGGTAAACATATGCATTATAAAGAACTTAATAATCTATTAACAAGGGCTGAGAAGTTGGTAGAGTGCTTGCCTCGAATGCATGAGGCCCTGGGTTCGATTCCTCAGCACCACATAAGCAGAAAAAAGCTGGAAGTAGCCCTGTGGCTCAAGTGGTAGAGCACTAGCCTTGAGATGAAGAGCTAAGGGACAGCACCCAGGCTCAAAGTTCAGCTTCCACGACAGAAGAAAAAAAATCTATTAACAAGCTGAGTGCCAGTGGCTCACCCCTGTGATCCTAACTACTCATGAGGCTGAGATTTGAGGATCATGGTTCGAATCCAGCCCTGGAAGGAAAGTCCATGAGACTCTTATCTCCAATTAACCACCAAAAAGAAAAAAGCCAAAAGTGGAGCTGTGGTAGAATGCTAATCTTAAGTAAGAAAGCTCACTCAGAGACACTGCCTAGGCCCTGAGTTCAAGAACCAAGACCAGCACCAAAAAAAAAAAAAAATCTAATAACATTATTTCCACTTTTAGAATACCTAACCTGAAACCTTAAGGGTTTGTTTTGTTTTGGGGATTTTCTTTTGGCGGTACTGAGGTTTGAACTCAGGATCTTCTGCTGGCCAAACATTTACCACTTGAGTCATGGCTCTTTGACGTCTAGAATCTAGTTTTTAAAGTGCAACTCAAAAGAAGCAGCCAAATGAAATGTGACTGAAATTCAGATACTCGTTCTACAAAGTGTTGCCAATGATAAAAATAAGTAAATATTAACTGCCTCTGCACCCATCTTCAACTTCCTAGCCAAATACACAGAGTACAGAAGGTGCAGGCCATCTCAGTAAATCAGGTCAGGTCTGAGTAATTCAAGGTTCGTATGCCTGACCTATAATAAAAGCCCTGGATATGGACACTCTTGCCAGAGTTTATGCAGTCACATATCACAGCTGTGAGAAATTAAGCTGTATGTATAACTCAATTTGAAGAAGATAACTTATATCTCTGATATAAGTTATCTCTGAAGATAACTTATATAAGATAACTTATAACTTATATAACTTATATATAACCTGGACTCTGTCCTAGGTGCCATTTTATCTCTTTATTATTTTAAATCTATATGTTTTGGTGTCATAAACTGCAGCCAGGAACAAAATAGTCTTCCTGAGTTCGTTAAGTCCCCTTAGCAAATCATGAAACCACAAAGTCATTTTATAGACCAATAGTCACAAATAACCTACATTCTAATTCTCTGTCCTTCCTCGGGCACCTCTCCCCCTTTCTGAAACATTTCACCTGTTGGAACTGAATGTCTACTTTCTTAGTTTTCCTACCATCTGACTGTCCCTTAGTTCTTTTGCTGTTTTTCTCCTCATCCATTTGATAATATTACTACGGCTAGTTATAAGACTGGTGAAATCCTAAGTTTCCTAGGTTAGCATTTGGTAAGCCATGTGAACATGGAATTAAAGAATAATTTCTACTGTAGTTTCAGAATGTCAGCCCCTTTTAGATCTCTGCTTTTCACTGTAATTTTCATCTGACCTTCTAGGTTCTAGGAAGACTTCCATATCTTGGATTTTCTGCTTTTCTAGTTTTTCTTTTTTTTTTTGGTCGGTCATGGGGCTTGAACTCTGGGCTTGGGCGCTGTCCTTCAGCTCTTCAGCTCAAGGCGAGCACTCTATTGCTTGAGCCACAGCACCACTTCCAGTTTTCTAGTGGTTTATTGGAGGTAAGAGTCTCACGGACTTTTCTGCCCAGGCTGGCTTTGAACTGTGATCCTCAGATCTCAGCCTCCTGAGTAGCTAGGATTACAGGCGTGAACCAGCACCTGGCTCTAGTTTTTCTATATCATCTGTACTTTACTCTGTTTAAAATTATAGATGATGGGGCTGGGAAGGTAGCTCAGTGGTAGAGTGCTTGCCTTGCATGCATGAGGCCCTAGGTTCAATTCCTCAGCACCACATAAACAGAAAAAGCTGGAAGTGGCACTATGGCTCAAGGGGTAGAGTCCTAGCCTTGAGCTAAAGAGCTGAGGGATAGTGCCCAGGCCCAGAGTTTAGGTCTCATGACCGGCAAAAAAAATAAATAAATAATAAAATAAAATAAAATTATAGATGATTATATAGCTAACATTCATTCAACATTTTTGTGATACTTCATCTATGTACCAATTGCTGTGCGAGGGAGATGGAGATGCATATGATAATCTGTGTCCTCAAGATATTTTCTGAATATTGTAGGAGAAAAACAAGTAAATCAATGGTGGTCATAAGGTGTGAACGTAAGGTGTGACAGAACAGCACAGTGTTATGAACAACATAATAACCTGGTACCCCCAGTCCAACGAAACAGCACACAACAGGGTTTTGACTCACCTCCGTACTTCATCAGTTAAGCAGACAATGTGCTCCTGCATTCTGCGCAGTCGGATTTCATAACGCACCTCTTTGGCTTGAGGGTTGTAGTTCCTGGCATAAAACCCTCGCCAACAGGCCTGAAGTTTGGTAGCTGCTTCATTCAATTTCTGAAGGGCAATGCTGTCTTGTCCCAAAGCAACAGACGCCTTGGTTAAAATTCTGCAGGGAAGTTCCCCTAAAGTTATCTGAGACATCGTTTCGTCACTATGTGGTTCTGCATGCAACACACTGTGACTAGCTGGTTCAGGAAGAGATGTAAGACTATGGTTAACATCCTTCAAGACTGCACTGACTATTATTGCCTCGTGGCAAGGTATTAGCCCCGCTTTCTCACTGACTTCTGTACAGACCTTACTTTTAAAAATTTGAACAGAACTCTCATTTGTATCCCATAAAGCCTTTAACTCTTCCTTATTCATGTCCTGATTTTCTAGCCCTTTCATAGATTCTTCTGCAACACCATCATCTTCCAGGCTCAAGTTAATGCCCTGGAGCCTCAGTTCCACGGTGGGTGACACTGGAGACAGTCCTGATGCAACTGGCATGAAAGTAGACTCTGAAGAAAGAAGACTACAATTTAACTTGTCCTCATCCGTCTGTATATCTTCTAGGTGCAGGTCATTTCGAGAATATCTTGTAGTATTTGCAGAGGCTGGAAAGTTATTCAGAACAGCATGTAACTGATCATCATTACTGCTTAATCCAACCCAAGAGTTGACTTGGATGACAGGTTCTAGAAGAATCAACAGAATATTATTTGAATCACTAAATATTTAAAGATTTTTTTAGCTATATCCTTTTTAAAGTAATCTAATCCCTAAAGTATACTGAAATACACACAAACACATACAAATACGCACACACAAATACATTCAATGATTTCCTCTAAGATTCCTAAAACACCAAACCAAGCATTTTTTAATTAACATATTAATTACAGTGATGGGTTTCATTGTGATATTTCCAGACATTCACACACATATCTTGATCATAAAATCACCCTATTACTTTTTTTTATAAGTTTTTTATTGTGAAAATACTGTTCAGAGAGGTTACAGTTAGATGAGCAAGGTAATAAGTACGTTTCTTATCCAGCATTGTTGTCTCCTCCTTGGTTTTTCCCTACCATCCCTTTCTTCCCACCTCTCAACTACATTCTCTCCTTCCTCCTAATAAATTTTTATATGGGTTTCATAGTGACTTTTTCATATATGCACACTATGATTTCAAACATATTCACCCTCCACTCTATTTTTCCCATCCTCCTTCCTACTAGTTACCTTCTCCAAACAATCATACTTTTATGTTCAAACCAAACATTTTTAAGGAAATGAATTCTCAGCTGGGCACTGGTAATGCACAACTGTAATCTCTGATACTGAGGAGGATCTTGGTTTGAAGCCAGTCTAGGTAGGAAAGTCTGTAAGATTCCTATCTCCAATTAACTGCTAAGAAAGTAGAGCTGTGGCTCAAGTGGTAATGCACTAGCCTTCAGGGGGGAAAAAAAAGCTCAGAGCCCAGGTCCTGAGTTCAAGCTCCAGAACTGGCACAAAACAAAAAAGCTGGGCACCGGTGGCTCACGCCTGTAATCTCCTAGCTACTCAGGAGGCTGAGATCTGAGGATCGCAGTTCAAAGCCAGCCGGGGCAGGAAAGGCTTGAGACTCTTATCTCCAATAAACCACTCAGAAAAGCGGAAGTAGCACTGTGGCTTAGCCTTGAGCTGGAGAGCTAAGGGACAGCGCTCAGGTCCAGAGTTCAAGCCCTACGACCCACATAAAAAATATACATATATTTTTAGAAGGATTTTTAAAAACTAGAAATATAATTCTATAATATATAATTAAACATATGTATTGAGTTATATACACATATACCTATATATACAAAATTATGTGCATATACATATAAAATATCAAACATGTATATATAAAAATGAAATATCCAAATGATAATTTAAACTAATGAAAAATACTTTTATTTTATTTTTGTCGGTCATAGGCCTTATCTCAGGGCACAGAAACGTCCCTGAGCTCTTTTGCTGAAGGCTAGCACTCTACCACTTGGAGCCACTATGCCACTTCCAGTTTTCTGGTGAAGATAAGAGTCTCACAGACTTTTCTGTTAGGGCTGGCTTTGAACCATGATACTCAGATCTTAACCTCCTGAGTAGCTAGAATTATAGGCATGACTCATTGGTGCTCAGCCATGAAAAGTACTTTATAAATACTTCTAAAAGATGTGTTATGCTAATATCAATTTAAAGCAAATCAAAAACCTCAATGCCAGACCTGAAACTTTGAAACTACTACAAGAAAGAGTAGGAGAAACATTAGAACCTGTAGGTATAGGCAGAAACTTCTTGAATAGAGCCTCAGGGGACACAACAGATAGGAGACTTGGCAAGTAGAACTACATCAAAATCAAAGGTTTCTTCACAGCTAAGGGCATAGTGACCAAACTAGAAAGACAGCCAACCAACCGGGAAAAGAACTTTATCAACAATATATCAAAGGCATAATATTCAGGATATACAAGGAGTTCAAGAAACTAATCCCTCCCAAACATAATAAACAAATCACTAAATAAGCAACTGAGCTAAAAAGAGACTTCTCTGAAGAGGAGAATGGTAAAGAAACACATGAGGAAATGCTCATAATCCCTGGCCACAAAGGAAATATTATCAAAACAACTCTGAGACTCCACCTCACCCCAGTAAGACTGTCCAATGTTGTGAATTTGAACAGCAACAAATGATGGCAGAGATGTGAGGACAAAAGAGCCCTACTGTACTGTTTGTGGGAATGGGAATGTAAACTAGTACAACCACTCTGGACAGTAGCCTTGGGGTTCTTAAAAAAAACTAAACAGAGGGGCTGGGAAGGTGGCTCAGTGGTAGAGTGCTTGCCTTGCAAGCATGAGGCCCTGGGTTCAATTCCTTAGCACCACATAAGCAGAAAAAGCCAGAAGTGGCACTGTGGCTCAAGTGGTAGAATGCTAGCCTTGAGCTGAAGAGCTGAGGGACAGTGCCCAGGCCCAGAGTTCAGGCCCCACCACTGGACCCCCCCCCCAAAAAAAAACCCCTCAACAGAGCTTCCCTATGACCTAGCCATACAACTCCTGGGCATTTATCCTGAACATCCTGGGCCAGGATATGATAAAGATACCTGCACATCCACATCCATGTTCACTACTGCAGTATTCACAATAGCTAACATATGGAAAGAGTCCAGATGTGCTTCCTATACACAATGGAATTTTACACAGTCATCAGAAAGAATAAAATAATGTCATTTGCAGGGAAAAGGACAGAAGTGGAACAAATCATGTTAAGTCTGGTAAGTTAAGATCAGAGAGACTAATGGCACATGTTCTCTCTGATATGTGGAAATTATATCTAAAAAGCACTGGGATATGACAAATTTTACAAGATTCTAGACAGTTACATACTGTAAGACCAAAAGAAGATAGCCTTAGAGGAGAATCACAAAGATGTAATGCCTAAGTGTCTCTTCACATTTATACAAAATAATGTACATACTGAAACAAACTTAATTTTTAGGTGGTTTGGGGGGTTTTTGTTTGTTTTGGTCAGTTGTGGGGCTTGAACTCAGGGCCAAGGCACTGTCCCTGAGCCTCTTTGTGCTCAAGACTAGCACCTGAGCCATAACGCCTCTTAAGGATTTTGAGTGGTTAGTTGGAGATAAAAGTCTTCACAGGGACTTTTCTGCTCAGGCTGGCTTCTGACAGCGATCCTCAGATCTCAGCCTCCTCAGTAGCTAGGATAACAGGCGTGAGCCACCAGCGCCTGATTCAAATTTTAGTTTTTGATGTTTCTGTCTTCTTTACCTTATGTATGGTATATACATGTATGTATCTTCAGGAGGGTGGAGCGAGAGGGGAAAAGGGTAAATTGCAGCAGTGGAGCTCACTGGACATCAATAAAAGTGAACTACACAGCTCATGGTTAGAGACGAGAGGGAGGAATCAGAAGAGAGTGTGAGGGAAGACACCGTTCGAAAGAAAATGTACGCATTGCCTGACTCATGTAGTTGTAACCCCTCTATAGATCACCTCTTTAATAACAAAGTAAACTAAAAAATACATATGTGCTGTGATAGCTAGTAAATCAAATAATTTAAGAAAAATAACCAGAGATAAATTAATTTCTCACCGTTTTCCTGGGCTATCTGGCAATCCTGAACAGGGCTTGAATGCTCAGGTGACAGGGGTACCCTTAGTTCAATAGGAGCAAACTCTTCATTTTGGCTTTGGTTCATCAACTGTCTCTGGTGAAACCTAAAAAAAAAATCATTAAACTCTGATATCTACAAGTTCATTCATAGGTAACTTCAGTCACTGGCAAATTACATAGTCTCAGTTGAAAACACTGGGGAAAAAAAGATGAAAATTGCTGGGTAGCAGTGGCTCACGCAAATAATCCTAGCTACTTAGGAGGCTGAGATGTGAGGATTGAGGTTCAAAGCCAGCCTGGGCAGGAAAGTCTGTGAGACTCTTATCTACAAATAACCACCAGAAAACCAGAAGTGGTGCTGTGGCTCAAGTGGTAGAGCACCTGCCTTGAGCTGGAGAGCTCAGGGACAGTGCTCAAGCCCAGAGTTCAACATAATCGACAAAAAAAAAAAGGTTAAAATTTATTTTTAAATTGCATGGATAGACACTATCACATGCACACATTTGCATATATACAAACATTTAAAGTCAGGCTCTGGTAGCTGATGACTAAAGATGGAGATGTACTCAAGTGGCAGAGTATCAGCTGAGCAAGCACGCCTCTGAGTTCAAACCCTGTTCCTGGATAAATTTTTTAAAAAAACTAAGTGTTTCTAGATGTTTTTTAGTATTAGTATTTTAAAGCCCATATGCTGTACCTATGTTAAAAAGCCAAATATTTATTTTTCTTTTGAGACACAGAATCAAATCAAATCTTTACACATGCTATGACAAGTGGTCTCCCACTGAGCTGTCATTTGAGTCCTTGACAAAAACATATCATAAAAAATTCCATTGTTGGAAGTGGCACCGTGGCTCAAGTGGTAGAGCGCTCGCCTTGAGTTGAAGAGCGCAGGGACAGCGCTCAGGCCCAGAGTTCAAGCCCCACGACCAAAAAAAAAACAAAAAAAATTCCATTGTTAGGGGTTGGGACGGTGGTTCTGTGATGAGTGCTTGCCTTGCATGCATGAGGCCCTGGGTTTGATTCCTCAGCACCACATAAGCCGAAAAAGCTGGAAGTGGCACTAGCCTTGAGCTGAAGAGCTCAGAGAAAGCACCCAGGCCCAGAATTCAGGCCCCACAAGCAACAACAACAACAACAACAAAAGTTCCATTGTTAGCCAAGTACTTGTGGCTCACACCTGTAATCCTAGCTACTCAGGAGGTTGAGCTCTAAGCTCTAAGGATCACAGTTCAAAGACAGCCAGGGCAGGAAAGTCTGTGAGACTCTTATCTCCAGTTAACCACCAGAAAACCAGAAGTGGTGCAGTAGCTCAAAGTGCTACAGTGTTAGCCCTGAGCAAAAGAACTCAGGAAAAAAGTCCAGGCCCTGAGTTCAAGCCCCAGGGCTGAAAAAAAAAAATCCCATTGTTGCTGGGGTGGGGGTGGGGGGGGAGTGTAGTTGAGGAGGTAGGAGGGAAGGGATGGTAGGGGAAAAACAAAGGAGGAGGCAACAATGCTTGATAGGAAATGTACTCATTACCTTGCTCAAGTTACTGTAACCCCTCTGTACAGTATTTAGACTATTTAAAAAATCCCATTGTTACAATGGGTGGAAATGGGAGGGAAAAACTGAGAGAAAGCAAGGGAAAGGGTGACATTGTTCCAGAAGAAATGTACTCTTTACCTGACTTACGTAACTGTAGCCCCTCACCTTTATACTAACCATTTTAAATATTTTTAAAGAAAAAAGAAAAATCTAGCCCTTTACAATAATGAAGGATAGGAATGTAAAACAGATCTGTTTGGAAGTGGGAGTCAGGGAGAGGAAAGGACGAAGGGAGAGGTCATAGGGGTGTGAATAAAGCAGAAAATAGAACTGAAATCTGTTGACAGTGGTACAAAAAGAGGCCGGGTGATGAAGAGGATGGGTTGGACTGGGCTACACTTTTATGCAAATATGAAAACACCCCAGTGACGTCTCTGTGTACAACTAATATTTGCTAATAAAAATGGAAAGGCAAAAAAAAAATCCTATTGTTTACTAGGCACAGAGGATTTGGTCAAAGCCAGCCTGGGCAAAAAGTCTGCATCTCTGATTTCCAAAAACTTCCAAAAAGCCATTAGTAGAGCTGTGGCTCAAGTGGTAGAGCACCAGACTTGAGCTAAAAGAGGCTCAGCCCTGAGTTCAAGTCCCAGGATTCCACATGCATGCATGCGCACACACACGCACACCACACACACACACACACACACACACACACACACACACACACACACACACACACACACACACACACACACACAGGATTCCACATGCATGCATGCGCACACACGCACACCACACACACACACACACACACACACACACACACACACACACACACACACACACACACACATATCCCATTGCCCCAAGCCACATTATTTGGCTCCTTCTACTCAAAAAGTGATTAGCAATACAGTTCCTGTGGGTGAGCTGCACTGTGTAGCACAGCATTCCTACAGGACTGCTGAAATGACAAGCCTAACTACCCTGAAACATGGACCAAAGCACTGACCTACTATCATCATATGAAGGACTGAAGGGTATTTTTACCTGTGAATTCATTACCTGATAAAAGTAGATGGGCTTACCTCTGTTTACTCAGAATCTTCTCTAGTTTGGCATCTTCTGCAGTTTGCAGGCCCAATGTAGAAGTAAGAGGACAAACTGTAGCCAGATATTGGACAAGCTGAATGTGCTGGCCGGGCCGATAGGCTCGCCCTTTCCCTTGACTATAGAGCCACTCAGCTTTCAAACTGGAATTGAAGGAAATAAAAAAAGGATGATGGTACTGGGAAGGTCCAAACACACTGCTAAGCAACAGTGATTTTCCTTCCTTATTTACTTTTATAAAAACCACTGGCTGTTTTTCATAGATATAGAGATAATGATTTGTACATTTTTTTCCCCCACACTTAAGATATGTTTCCACAGGTTGACACTACTGTTTCTAGATTTTTTACAATTATTTTCAAAGCAACAATGAATGTTCCCTCATTAACTCTGTCAAACTGAAAAGTCCAAATACATTAACCACATTTAAAGGCACTACTTCATAATGACATTAAAAAAAAAAATACACCAGGCACAGTAGCTCACGCCTGTAATCCTAGCTACTCAGTAGACAGAGATTGGGAAAACTGAGGTTGAAGGCCAGGCAGAAAGTTTGCAAGACCCCCAACTAAACCAACAAAATGCTGAGTATGCAGAAAGCATTAATAGGAGAATCATAGTCCAGGCTTACCTGGGCATAAACTTGAGAATCTATTTTAAAAACAAATCAAGGATGCCAGGTACTGGTGGCTCATGCCTTTAATCCTAGCTACTCAGGATGCTGAGATCTGAGGATCACAGTTCAAAGCCAGGCCAGGCAGGAAAGTCCATGAGACTCTTATCTCCAATAAACCATGCAGAAAACTGGAAGTGGCGCTGTAGCTCAAGTGGTAGAACACTAGCCTTGAGCTGAAGAGCTGAGGGACAGCACCCAGGCCCAGAGTTCAAGCCCCACGACTGACAAAAAAAAAAAAAAAAAATCAAGGCTGGTACTGAGGGCCCACTCCTATAATCCTAGCCATCAGGAGGCTGAGATCAGAGGACCACAGTTCAAAGACAGCCCAGCAGGAAAGTCTGTGAGACTCTCATCTCCAATTAACCACCAATAAGCTGGAAATGGAGCTGTGTCTCAAGTGGTAGAGTGCTACCCTTAAGCAAAAATGTCTAGTGACAGTGCGTGGGCCCTGAGTTTAAGCCCCAAGACCAGTCTAGTAAACACACACATACACACACACACACACACACACACACACACACACACACACACACACACACACAGCGTGCAAAAAGAGCTGGGGACCTAGCTTAATGTATAAGAGTGCTTGCTTAGAAACAAAGTACAGAGTTCAAAGCTGCACAGTGCAAAAACTAAAAAATTCAAATAAAATTCATCATTTCAGAATCAATGATGAACTAGTGATTATATGTAGTGATCATTAATAGTCAGTAATAGCAAGACCATGGGAATTTCATAGTAGCCAAGAGAATCCACAAGGTAGTCCTCCAAATCATCAAACTTGCCAGGTGCTAGTAACTCAAACCTGCAATCCTAGCTACTTTGTAGTAGGCTGACATGTGAGGATTGAGGTTCAAAGCCAGCTCAGGCAGATAAATCTAAGAGACTCTTATCTCCATTTAACCATCAAAAAGCCAGAAGTGGAAGTGTGGCTGAAGTAGTAGAGCACTAACTTTGAGTGGAAAAGCTAAGGAAGATTGCAATGGCCTAAGCTCAAGCCCAGGTACAAGTCAAACCTTAATCTCATCATATCTCCATATTCACCTATCAATTTTCAGGTAATGCAGAAGAATATATCAAAAGACTTAGGAAAATGATTTTGTATGTGTGTGCCAGTACTAGCACATGCACTTAAGAGTCTTGAATTCAGGGCCTGGTGCTGTCTCTGAGCTTTTTTTTGCCCAAGAATAGGGCTCTACCACTTGAGCCACCACTCCACTCTGGCTTTTTGGGTAGTTTAGTGGAGATAAAGGTCTCACAGACTTTCCTTCTTCAGGCTGGCTGTGATCCTCCCATCTCAGCATCCTGAATAGCTAGGATTACAGAAGTGAGCCACTGGTACCCAACTGCCTTGAGTTCTTTGCTTAGGTATTTTGTACAATTTCCCAAATGCATCATTATAAGAGCAATTAGGTCTAAGATACTAATATTTCTTTTTCTTTTGTTGGTCCCATGGGCCTTTAACTCTGGTCTGGGTGCTGTCCCTGCACTCTTTAGATCAAGGGTAGCACTACCTCTTGAGCCACAGCTCCACTCTGGTTTTCTGGTGGCTAATTGGAGATAAGAGTCTCACAGACTTTCCTACCCAGGGTGGCTTTCAGTAGCTAGGATTACAGGCGTGAGCCACTCGTGTCCGGCTAAGATTTCTTTTTCATATATAAAAAGTTATAGGTGGAAGTGACACTGTGGCTCAAAGTGGTGGAATGCTAATCTTGAGCAGAAAAGCTCAGGAATGCCACCCAGGCCCTGAGTTCAAGCCCCATGATCACCACCAACAACAAAAACTCTTTCAGCTAGGCGCTGCTGACTCATGCCTATAGTCCTAGCTACTCAGGAGGCTGAGGTCTGAGGATTGTGGTTCAACGCCAGCATGAGCAGGAAAGTCAGGGACACTCTTATCTCCAATTAACCACCAGAAAATCGGAAGTGGCACTGTGGCTCAAAGTGGTAGAGCTCTAGCTTTAAACAAAAGAGCTTAAGGACAGTACCCAAGTCCAGAGTTCAAGTCCCATGACTGACAAAAAAAAGAAAGAAAGAAAGAAGAGCCCAGAACTAATGTTCTGGGCACAACAAATAAGTAAAAATTATAAGATTTTATGAGATTAATCTGAGATTCTATAAAATATACATAACCTGAGAGGCACAGGGGGCTGCCTGCAGATCACCTGCGCAGAAGCCGCCTGAGGCACCGGACCCGCCCAACCGAGATCACAAAGACCCGGCGGGGGCCGCCCAGGTCCCAGAGGCACAGGGGGCTGCCTGCAGATCACCCGCGCAGAAGCCGCCTGAGGCACCGGCGTCAGACCCACCGGATCTCTACAACCAGCGAAGAAGCTGCCTGAGCGTGGACACTGTGGACCTGACAGCTTTGATAGAGGCAGAGACAGAAAAGAATCACACAGAGCCACCACCGCCCAGCCCAGCCCGCAACCACCCCAACTGAACTCGGATTGCAACAACAACGGAAGACCTACACCACACAGAAACAACCAGCTCCAGGGTGAGTACCCCACAGGGGACAGTGTATCCCTCAAGGGAGACCAGAGCTGGAGGGAATCCCCAGACCCTGACCTAGACTCCCTACCCCAACACCCGGACCACAGGACCCACTAAAACTGGAACTGTTCGAGAGCTCCACCAGCCCGTGGAGCACACTCCGCTGGCCAGGCCAGAGCGAGAGTGCCCCTGGAAGGGAGCTTAAATGCCCAAGCCAGGAACAGCACCCCTGGGTCAAGACTACCAACAGTAGAAGAAATTTGAACTGTGTCCTCCAGGCTGCATAACCTAGGTGGTATACACATCAGCACAGGCCTAAGCGCGCTCCAGGCTTGGGCCAGATCCAGGCCCGGGGATCCGGCGCCTGAACAACACAATCAACTCCTCCCAACTGAAGTAAAAAGCTGAGCATATGCCTCAACAGAGGGGAGAAAATCAGGAAACAGCACTCCCCGGGAAGCACGCCTGTGACAACAAAAGACCTGGAGGCTCAGGACAAGAGAAGCCCAAACCCCACCAAAACTCCACCCATATACCCCAGGCTGGGAATTGGGCAACTCAGACTGCCAGCACCTGATAGTAAGCAGGAGCTCAGGCTGATAAGGCAGCTCAGCAATAGAGTGATAGTCTTGGATGTATGAGGCCCTGGATCTGATTCCTCAGCATCACAAAAGCAAAAAGGATCAGAAGTGGTGCTGTGGCTCAAATGGTAGGGTGCCAGCCTTGAGCTGAAGAGCTGAGGGACAGCACCCAAACCCACAACCAGCGCAAAACAAACAAACAAAAACACATCAGGAGCCCATAGCAGACTCCAGTATTTGGGAGAGTGCATCCAGAGCATCTGATCTTCCCAAGAGCATCCGTAGGAGCAAACACAAGCAGTCTAGACTGCTCAACCCTTCCAAAGGCGGGAATTGTCAGCAATCTACAGCAGAGAGCTGAGAATCCTAAGTAGGTCAGAATAGCAGCTGGAAATAGGCTCCCAACAGAACCCAGTTCAGGCACAGACTCTCTCTACCAATACAGAATCAGCAACCAAGCAAAGACAGACACACCAAAACAAAATTGCAGAGCAGTCTCCTGAACCCCCATGCGAAAATCACAGAGAAAAATCACAAGGTTTACCACCACCCAGGACAGCAAGCTCACCTCAAAAGCCAGCAGCTACGCAGGGGAGAACCCCAGTGGGAGCAAAGCAGGAATGGAAGACAAAAGCTATATCCAAGGGTTGCTGGAGGCAATGACTCAAGAAATAAAGTGAGAAATTGATCAGAAATTGAAAGAGCACAAGGATGAACTATCAAAAGAGATACAGGATATCAAACAAGAGTTGGATACAAAAATAGAAGCTGCACAAACCTCAGTAAGAAGTGAGATAAACGCCAAATTAGAGGTAATACATACTGAGATCAGTACTCTGAGAACCAACATTGAATCCATAAAGGGATCCATTTCCTCCATGCAAACCACAATAGAAGCCACGGTCAACAGAGTGAATGAAATGGAAAGTAGAGTGTCAGATACGGAAGACAGAATACACCAACTGGACCAAAAAGTGACAGATATGGAAAAATCACTCAAATTAAACCAAAGGGAAATTCAAGAGCAAGCAGATAATGCCAAGAAATTTAACCTTCGTATAATCGGAGTGGACGAAGGTGAGGAATTCCAGAGCAACAGAATGCAACACCTATTCAACAAGATAATCACTGAAAATTTTCCCCACCTCAAAAAAGAACATCTTACCTACATCACAGAAGCATATAGAACACCCAACAAGCAAGATCCCAGGAGAAACACTTCTAGACACATTATAGTAAAAATGATAGATCTGAATAATAAGGAAACAATCCTGCATGCAGCAAAAATGAAGAAGGAGCTATACTACAACGGGAAAAAAATTAGAATCACTGCAGATCTCTCCACACAAACAATGAATGCAAGAAAAGCCTAGGAAAGCACCATACGAGC